GACCACGTGTTGCTCGCTCCAGCCGAGCCTGGAACACAAAGCCAGCGGTCGTTTCCTACCACTTTCACCCACTCGTCCACACGAACAGCTCGACTTTAAACGGAGGTGCGACGTTTACGGCCCGACGTCAAAAAAAGAAAAAACAAAACCCAACTGTCTGGTGATGGCGTCCATAAACATGCCCAACCGTGGGGCTAGGAGCCAGGCTAACTTTAGCCGGCCTCTCGACCCTCCCTGGTGCAAGGACTTTCACGGTGTCCGGCTTTTAAAGCTAGCTGAGATGCTAGTGGCTTCGTACGCACTACCGGAACACGAACAAGTAGCTCGAAGACACGGCAGCCACGAACACACCACACCCGGGGCGACGTGCCGCGGCTCACGGCAGCCGGACCGACGCTGCCTGTCTGCCAGCGTTCCGTTCACACGTTCGAACGGCTTCTGCCGTGTCATAGCACCGGTGCTAACGCGGCGGAGGAAGCCGCCCTGTCGGGCTGGTGTCTGAGAGGAGACTCTTTTAGTTCCACACCCTAAATGTCAAGATCACGGCCCCATAAAATAAAAAATAAAAAAAATAAGGTCAAGACAGAAAAATTTGCGACATACGACACGTGTCAACAAACGTCTCATTACGGTCAGAACCGGAGCAGCTGGGTGTCGTCTGTCCGGTTCTGACAATGTTTTTAGATGCTACTAATCACTAATAACGGGTTAAACGTGTGACGTTTTTTTTTCTTAATTCGCTGTAACGTTAACATCATGGTGGAGCCCCGTCGATGGCTGCTGCTGCTGCTGTTGTCTGACTCGCATTAGCAAAGCCGAGCCGTGTTTTCCGCACAGCCACACAAACATCATTTAACTCCTAAATTGACACCAGACCGGATCGAGGCGTTGGACCGGAGGCCATTTCTGAGGTCCGGGCTCCTTACCGTGCCTCTGTGTGCGGTGGGAGGCTGGTCGGGGCTGGTCGGGGCTTAGACAGCGCTGCGCAGCGATGAGGTCCCTGGGAAGAAAGACACTCCGCTCTGATGGCGGTAAAAGGGAGCGAGATCCCGCCGCCTGCGCTCATATACATTCGACGTCATCACGTACACTGACAGTCACCGAGGCAACGATGAGCCTGGGATGAGCAGAGCCTCCGACGGCCTGAGGGAGGCGCAGCACCGGAGAACACATCACTGCCACATTTGGACCCTTTGACTGACGTCATCAATTAGTCTGACAGTGTGTTAGGCCGCC